TGCGCTCTTTGCGAGATCCATGATGCGCCCTTTTACATCTGCAAACAACGATAAATAAAAAACAAGCGCTTGACGTGGGGATTTGCATGCATTGCTGCTCGTGGCAGCGGGACAATAGCATAAGAACCTGTATTTTCGAACCCCAAATCTTAGGGACCCATATCGTGACAGTTCATATAAATCACATGTATGAGCCAGAACTACAAAGTTATATCAATTTCCCAAGAAGCAGTAAACACTCATCAAACAATACCGATACCCCTACGTTATAGGGGGGTTAATGGCAAGCTTCCTCATGAGAACCATTACATTATCACTAAAGAAATCAATCCTCAACCCTAAACCTCACAAAAATCTGGATCCCCAAAGGAATATATTATATTCCCCTCCAACTGGGCTTTGATAAAAAAATCGGTACGGGAGAAGCTGTCATTGTGGACCCCTCGGATGGACCTCAGACTTCATGCACACGGCATCTGAGGCCCGGATGCCCTCGGAGCACCGTCACCCACAAGATGACAGCGGCGACTAGGGCTCCCAAGATTCCACCGACCAGGCTGGTCTGGTATGCCCGGAATACGACCACAAGGGGGAGCAGCGTGCAAACAAACAGTGCGACCACCAGCACCGTCTGTCCGAAGTCAAGGACTGGGTGGGCAAAGCGCGGCTGCGAAAGGCGTCTTGCCAGCCAGAAAAAAGCTTGACTTTCACACACCTCGGCAGAAAATGAGCGTATTTATGCTCAAGAGGGATGTTCCAAATAGAGAAAATCTTCATCTTTCAACAGAACCAGGCGCTACCAGCATGTTCGTTGCTAGGATCTGTCCAAAGAAGATCCGACCCCAAGCATCAAAGTGTGCCCCAGCTGACAGCAATCCAGCGAGCCATTCTAGCTGAACGCTCAGGAACGGGGTAATGGAAAGGACGCAGTAGCCGAGCGGCCAGCGGCTCTGTTGCAGTGCGTGCAGGAGTTCCTCCTTTAGAGGGCCTCGTACCAACAAGCTGAAGTCTTCCAGGCTTCCGTACCACTGGATAACGGCCGACAGAATGAAGCGCTTGTCGAAGTCGCTGAAGCAAGACAGCTCACTGACATCAAACTCTGAAAAGCTCCTGAACATCTCTTCCTGTTCCTTAACTCGTCTTTCAGGCTAGGGCCCATTCTCGTGGTTAAAACTGAAACTGAAATTGACTGCAAAAGGTGCTGCCATATCCTCCCCAGGCTCCCGGAAACTTTTCCTGACATAGTGAGCTGCAGGCAGAAATCCAAGGGCACACACTGCACCAAAGACGAGGAAGGGGAAGCGGACGGCGCGAGTAGCTCCAGAGATGAAGACCGAAAAAAAACATGCTTGAAAACAGGAAGGTTCCCAGCCAATTCGCCAAAGCATCACGCTCAACAAACAACGGCTGAATGACCAGCTTTCCCGCGGGATTTGCCCTGCGAAATGCCGCAATTTCAAACACCTGACGTCACACATAATTAGGTGCAAACAGCGCACAGAGCTTTTCCAGCACGGCTTTTGCGGGTTGCCATGGAATGTTCAAACCTTCCTCTACTCATCCAGCTGGATTACCCAAGACCCAATGCCCAAGCTTTGATTGAGAGCTTCGGG